CTACACCAGATATGTTTGGTCTGCCTTCTGGGTAGAACGTCTCAGTGTGTCCAATAATAATCAAATGACAATGAGTTCAACACTGTGGTCTAGTATAGATACCTAGAGTACCTGTATGCTTGCTGTTTAAAGGCAGAGCCAATTCTTTAACAGTCAGTCTACATGGTAGCAGGACTAGAATTCTCTTATGGAAAGTGAGGCACTTATAGCTCCCTAAGGAGAAAAGACCTGGCCACCTGGGTAGAGGAGGTATGGGTTGTGGTTTCTAACACAGAAAATAGGGATGTGAGAATTAGGTGAGACAGGGGTGGGAAATAAGAAAGTAAACAGCTGAAACTGTATTTTTTACCAACCTGGATAAAAACAGTACTACTAATGAATAGTAACATTTAGGACATTTGTCTAGCAACCTATGTGATGTTCAATATTTGCTTCAGTTTCTATTGATACATGCCATACCAGCCCAAAAACTAATGGCCTAAAACAATAACCATTTTTTTTGCTCACAATTCTGTGGGTCAGGAATTTGGCTCATCTCTGCTCAGTGACGTCTGGGGCTTCGGCTGAGGGATTTCTAATGTCTGCAGCTGGCTAGGATGGCTTGACTAGGGCAATATCTGTCAGCTATTGATTCTGGATTTTGGCTGGGTTCTCAACTCTTTTCCCTGTGATTAGCCTCTCATGAGACTATATTGGGCTTCTTCATGATATTGCGGGGATAAAACAAAACAAAACAAAAAGCTAAATTCTTTACACATTAATAAAAAAGAATACCTGCCACAGAAATTCAGATTCTTTTAACTTTAAAATGAAAAGACCTGAAACACACCATTGTCATGAATTATAAAAATGGTAGAAAACACTATAGCACAATGCCCATCCATCTTGAAAGTTCCAGAAATGCATTGTTATTGTTTGTGAAAGCTCAATGTGGTCACGACCTAATTATATTCTCCCCCTGAAAAAGAAAAGAAGAATGCAAAAAGAAATTGCTTTTTAAGAAGTAATAGAAAAAACCGTAGGAGTAAAAAGTTTCAAGATTGTAAAAGTGTTAAAAAGTCTACTCTGTGTTGTAACTAGTATTAACAATAGCAGTGGTCCCAGGAGAAATTATGTCAAGTGAAAAGATGTTCGTTATCTTACATACAAAATCGTAAAAAAGGTTTACTATGTGCCTTAAAAAATGTTTGGATGAGATCTTTATCTTTCACACTCTAAACATATGTAAAAAGTGTCTCTGGGGGCTTGCCTACTTGAGGTAAGAAAAAAGAAAGGGTCGTAATCTTGCAACACAAAAAATAGCATCTGGCTGAAGGCAAATGTGGAAAATGGTTAAAAATTATTTAATCTAAGTGGATGGCATACAGATGTTTGTTGTAATATTCTTTCAACTCTTCTGTGTGTTTGAAATTTTTTTTAAATAAAAGTTGGGGAAAGGAAAAATAATAATATTGAGTACTCAACCTCAAGCCCCACTCCCAAGTTCTTGTGATCCCAAGTAAATTTCAGCAGTGTTCACATATATTTCCCTTTCTATCTGTGCACAATGCGAACGACCCCCTCTGCAGATAGGAGCCAAGAAGCTCCTTGATTCCAGTCACTGCCATAGAGCCCCTCCCAGCCTGCCTGCACTCCTTTCTGTGGTGGCTTATGTTATGAGTGCTGTCATCACTGTGCTGAGAGCCCTCTGTGCCCAGAGTTTGGGAGCAGCCACTCATATGCAGGTCTTGCCTTCCCCAGAATTCAGTATACAACTTGTCACGTTCAGATTTACCTTCTCCCAGTTTAGCAACTACAACAGAAGAAACATGTCTTTCCTAATCCTTCCTGCGAAAGTCCCAAGGATCTTTAATTGACCTGGGTTGGGTAATGGTGGTGTTCAGCCTCTTATCCCCACTTTCCCCAGCTGAGGCTGAGGTTTCTCAACTCTTAGGCCAGGTCAGCAGGGATCAAACTGAGATTCAGTACCTTCATCTCCCTCCCCTATTGTTCCTCATTTCAAACAGCTTATCTCCAGTCCTGGACACTAGGCAGGAACTTCTAAGAGGCAGGCGCTGATGCTGCAGAAAGAAAATCTACCCAGGTTCCCCGTGTCCACAGTTGATGGGCAGACTGAACTTTTCTAATTCTGACACTCTCTGTAGATTCATTTATACTTAACTGATTCATTTGACTCAATTTCCAAAAATAATTCTTTAGTAATTATACAGTATTCTTAAGTCAATGAAAACCAAATTGGAACTATATGGAAACAAACAAAAAAAAGCTGGTCAAACACTATGATGATTTTTTTTTTCTAGGAAAAGATTATAAGATTGAATTTATAGTGGATAATGTTGCTCGGGTGGAGTCAAGGACTTTCAGCCTACCAGTGCAGTCTAACTCCAGCAGCAGCAGCAGCAGCAGCAGTAACAGCAGCAGCAGCAACAGCAAAGCATCAACTATGGGTCCAGCTGCCCATCTAACTATAGTAATTAGCTGTCTCATAGCTAGAATGCTGCTCTTGGAAATATTTGTGGCTGCAGTTTTGATTTTGAATGTAAGTACCATTCTTTTTTTTTTATATAACAGTTGTCTCCACATATAGTAAATGTTTACTAAGTATAGACTTTGTGTACAGCACTTGTGCATGGCACTACTGGGTTCACAAAGACACAGTTTCAGGCACTGGGGAAGTAACAGCTTCAATGGTGAAGACAAGGACAATCCTTCAGGAAATACTATTCACACTATGCAGTGGCATATAAGAATGTGCAGGATGAGAAGTGCTGGTAACGTCAGGACTCTCAGTTGCAGGGGGCAGAAGCTCAGCTCAAATTGGTTTAGGCAGTAAAATGAGCTCACTTAACTGAGAAGTCCAGAAATAGTCTGGTTTCTGCCACAGCTAGATCTAAGAGCTCAGAGGAAATCATCTGGAACCTGTATCTCTCTCTCAGCTCCTTTCTTCTCAGTGTTAGCTTCACTCCTGAGCAGGCTCTCCACCCCCACCCACCTTCACCCCCCATAGCAAAGGCAGCTGCCAGCACCTCAGGTTTACATTCTACCAGCTTAGCAGCTATGGCAGAAAGAACAAACCTCTTTCTTAACAGTTTCAGCAAAAATTCCACAGCTATGTCATGGACCTGGCTTGGGTCACATGCCCATTCCTAACCCAATCACTGGGGCCACAGAGATGCAGTACCCTAGTTATCCTGGCCTGGGTCACATGAGGTGAGGCGCTGAGAATGGTGGAGGTGTGGTTTCACAAAGGGAAATGAAGATGCTGATACCAGAAGTAGCAGGCAGACTGAAATAGTGAATATTAGAGAGGTGAAAGGGAGAGAGAGGTCCCTGTGGGCTGGAATGACTACAGAAGACTACCAATGTCACCTAAGCAGCAGCACTTTAAATTTGGAACTATATAGAATGATTCAGATTTGGAGAGCAAGACAAAAGACACTCCAGAACAGCATGATAGGAGCAATGAAGAATGTAGAAGTGAAGAAAAGGCATCTTCAACTATACATGTTCAGCACAGAATTCCTCAACTTCCCCTTCCAAAAGTGCTTCTCCTCCTGCTATCCCATCTCAGTTAATGCCAGTGCCATATTTCCCATCCCTCACATTGATAACTTCTTAGATGTCTCCCTTTCCTTCAAACTCTGCATGCCTTCATGTGCTCATGGCATCTATATCCAACAGATGGTCTCTCGTATCTGTCCCTTCTTTAAAGTCTCACTGCTCTACTTAAAGCTTTCTTACTTCTAACTTGATCTCTAATAATAGCTGCTGAAATCCCTCTTTCCAAACTCCTTCACATCCAGCCCATCTTCCATACTGCTGCCAAATTTAGATTCCTAAGCATAGGATCATATAATGATAGAGTAATCTCAAATCCTCTAAGATTTGCCACCATATGCAAAATATAATCAACACCAAAGGCCCTAAAACCAGTCTTGATGACTGTAAACTTAAAAAAAAAAAAATTCCCAGAAAAGATTCTTCCCATTCCCACATTCCCTTTGTCTGAACTATCTTCCTCTACTCACCAAGTCCACCTTTCAGAGCATCCTTCTAATCGCTGCTCAAATATTACCTTCTCCGCCAAGTTTCCCATCTTCAGCCTGCCCTTCAATACATTTAATTCTCCTCTGCCTGTTCTCCAAATGTACTTTGTTCAAACCATTATTATAGCCCTTTCTGTGATGCACTTGTATTAAACTTATGTATATTCAAATATATCTTCCCCACTAAATTATGATAACTTGGAAGATAAGACCACATGCATTACATATTAAAGGTGTTAAAAATATGGTTTAATTGATTTTAAATTTTAAAAGCAGGTAAGTCCTCTCCCCTGACTTACAGGGAAATGTTGCATAGGAGTATTATAGACAAATTGTAAAGAATTTGATTGGCAGATATTAATCAGTTTGCAGTTGATCTAATGGGAGAGCAAACAGTGGAGGGTTTCTGACAGATTAATGAAATGAAAGCATCACTAAAGAAATATTGATATGATTTAGAAAGAATTTTAGGTGGAGTAAAAATTTAAAAGCATACTGAAGTATTTCAAATAATGAAAGTCAAAACTGGATTTTAAATTTAAACTGAAAAGAAGAACAAGGTGAAGGGACACAGTTAAGTTGGTTCCAGGAGTGGCAAAATAAATTTGAGGTTTTAACCAACTGCTGGAGTTTCAGAAACAACAATCAAACAGAAAGGAGCAAGTCTTTTCTTCCCTCCTAATGGCAGAAACGAATTGAGAGCCAGCTGTCAAGGGAAAAGCGTGGTTTGCAGAGATCCAGCCCTGGCCTCTCATGGCTGAATATAGAAGGGTGGGTTCAGAGTTGAGAGACAATAGGTAAATGACCAGCATATATAAGCATCTTATTTTTATGTTAGTTTTACATAAGTTTAATTTTTCTCCTCAGACGCATTAAAATAAACAGGTCTAGTTAATGAAATATGTACTTACATATGTTTGCATAATATATATATATACACACAAACACAAAATGTATGTATATACATTTTGTTTCCTCATTAAATGCATTGCTTTCTAATTATCTTCACTGACTTTTATCCTGTTTACTCCTGGCAATGTCAGTATTTTACCAAATTCAGAAAATTCTGTTTTCAAATTATTAGTATATGATATATTCATAGATTTTTTTCAGATAAAATCCTTTGCTACTAAATAATCTACCATTCTTTAATTAAGATACAAGATTATTTATATTACAAGCAGTCCTAGGATTATGAATGAGTTCCATTCCTGAGTCTATCTTTAAGTCAAATTTGTACGTAAAGTCGGAGCAATTAGGTGTGGTTCGTATCTAACGTCAGTCAAATGGTTGTCTTAGTATACAGTATATAGTGTACCTTTCTATGCATAAAAAGCATTAAAGGAACATTTCCAGATAACACTGAAACATCTTTAACATAATACAGTAATAATAACAATATTCTGATGCACATTGAAAGGTAGCACCCATTTGTTATTACGAACCATTGTGTGTACCTCGAAATTTTTAATATAATAGGCTTTGTGGGGTTTGGTTCATAAATAGGGGTTGTATGTAAGTCGGATGTTCATAACCCGGAGACAGCCTGTAATCATAATATGTTTCATTAAACATATTAATGAATTGAAATGCTGATTTCTTTTATAACTTTGCATTCTGAATTAATAATATGTGACTTTTAAGAGAATTACAGAGTTTCACTAAATAAAATGACAAAAGTTAAATATGGAAAATATAAAAAATGTGTAAGCACTGCTATTGTCTCTTCCACATTTCCACAAAAAATGCAATATTGATTCCAATATTATATTGGTGAACTTAGAAATACTAATTTTTAAATATTAATTTTACCCTATTAATCATGCAATGAAGTATTAGAAAATTAGTAAAACATATCACATTATTGTTATAACTACTTTAAAAAGATTATTTGTACTTGTTTTCCCTTTTCAGGAAGCCACTATAGTGCTTTTCTGAAGAACATGCTAAAAACAAAAATACAAGAACTGCTTATTTATTAGCTATTTTGTTGCACAATCAGAAAAAGTCCATAGCATTTTCAAGCAAATATATTAAAAATTTTTGTATAAAATTATGATATATTCACACAATGGAATACTATGCAACGATAAAGAACAACAATGAATCTGTGAAGTGTAACATGGAGGAATCTGGAAGGCATTATGCTGAGTGAATTTAGTCATTTGCAAAAGGACAAATATTGTATAAGATCACTATTATAAGAACTCAAGCAAAGGTTCAAACACAGAAGAAAACATTCTTTGTTGGTTATGAGGGTGGGGAGGGAGGGAGAGGGGTATTCCCTAAGTAGATAGTAGACAAGAATTATCTTAGGTGAAGGGAAGGACAATACACAATACAGGGGAAGTCAGCACAACTGTACTAAACCAAAGCTAAGAAGTTTCCTGAATACAACCAAACACTTCAAGGGACAGAGTAGCAGGGGCAGGGGTATGGGAACCATAGTTTCAGGGGACATCTAGGTCAATTGGCATAATAAAGTTTATTAAGAAAATGTTCTACAACCCACTTTGGTAAGTGGTGTCTGGGGTCTTAAAAGCTAGTAAGCGGCCATCTAAGATGCATCAATTGGTCTCAACTCACCTGGAGCAAAGGAGAATGAAGAACTCCAAAGACACAAGGAAAGTGTTAGCTCAGGAGACATAAAGGACCACGTAAACCAGAGACTCCATCAGCCTGAGACCAGAAGAACTAGATGGTACCTGGCTACCACCAATGACTACCCTGACAGGGAACACAACAGAGAGTTCCTGACAGAGCAGGAGAAAAGTGGGGTGCAGAACTCAAATTCCAATAAAAAGACCAGACTTAATAGTTTGACTGAGACCGAGTGACCCCGGAAGACATGGCCCCTGGACTCTCTGTTAGCCCAAAACTAAAACCATCCCCGAGGCCAACTCTTCGGACAAAGATTAGACTGGACTATGGGACATAAAATAATACTTGTGAAGAGTGTGCTTCTTAGCTCAAGTAGATACATGAGACTAAATGGGCAGCTCCTGTCCGGAGGTGAGGTAAGAAGGCAGAGAGGGTCAGAAGCTGATTGAATGGACACGGGAAATCAGGGGTGGAAAGGAGGAGTGTGCTGTCACAGTATAGGGAGAGCAACTAGGGTCACATAACAATGTATGTATAAATTTTTGTATGAGAGACTAACTTGAATTGTAAACTTTCATTTAAAGCACAACAAAAAAAATCGTGTGATATATACAATGTACTAATTAACTTTAATCACAAAAATCAAATTTCAAAATATAAATTTCTTTTGATTCCTTATATTTGTATATTCTTATTTCATTTCTAAAAACTTTCAGAAATTTCTGATTGGGAAACAGATATGCCACTTCCAAGTTACTATCCCACCAAATCATAGACTATTTCAAAGAGTTAAAAAAAGCTTGTCTAGTTTTGACTTAACCTCTTCAGATGAGATATCAAGCATTTTGAAATTTTGTATATTCTGGGGGATCGTGATTTTCTCTAACAATTCACAAGGCTCTGATTTTCCAAGGAGCTAAACTATTCTAAAAGGAGGCCTGGTGGTGCAGTGGGTAAGTGCTTGGCTGCTAACCAAAAGGTCAATGGTTCAAACCCACCAGCCACTCTGCAGGAGAAAGATGTGGCAGTCTGATTCCATAAAGATTACAGCCTTGGAAACCCTGTGGGGCAGTTCTACTCTGTCCTATAGGGTTGGTATGAGTCGGAATCAACTCAATGACAATGAGTTTTAAGCTATTCTCATTCCTAAGGATTTTGAAGAGAAGAGATGATTTTAGACCTTTGTCAGTCTGAATTGCTGTTTGTCAGATCCACAGTAATCCTAGGAATTCTGGACTGACCAGTATTTCTGAGATTACCAAACCCTAGCCAGTCTTCTAAGAAGAGATTCCTTGGTGTCCCTGGGACAGACAGTTGGAACAAGTCCAAACTCCTTCTCTGCTTAT